TTTTTTTTTTTTTGTTTTCATTATTATTGCCTTTTATTATCAGTATTTTTATTAATCATAACGTTGAACATCTGCAAGTGAACATCTGAGAATGATAACATCAGCAAATTATACACTGCAACATTGCATATAGTACATGTTACTCAGTTTAGGATGTACCAAAACAAAAAAAGAGAGAGCCAGACAGTCGTAAGCGCGGTTCATCATAACTCAACTACGTTGTAAGTTGGGGACTACCTGTACTTATTAGCAGGTCAACAGGTGTTTTGTTTTTATTGTATTTTATTCTAAGAGTGTGCCATATGATGTGTGTTACTAATCCTTTTCACTCTGGAATCCTGTCCTTACCATATTAACATTGAATAGTATCTCAGGTTTCGTTTCACACGGCGCACATGGTGTTGGAAGGAGTTCAACTGAGAGACAGTTTTTCTTTATCAATCGGCGGCCTTGTGACCCAGCAAAGGTATCTAAAAAAGTTTTTTTCTTTTTGCCTTTAACTTTTTATGTCTTTATTATGTAATAGCTTTTGCTGTTATAGGCAATTTATATGGAACTTCAGACTTTAGCTCAGAAACATGGTTTTAAAATTATTTTAGGCATTTTTATACGTTATCTAGTACTGCTGTAACAAAAATATGACAAGTAGATAGCTTTAATGATCATAAATTTATTTTCTCACAGTTTCGGAGGCTGGAAGTCTGAATTCAGGGCCCTAGCTCTAGGGGAAAGCTCTCTCTCTCTCTGTCCACTCTGGGGAAGGGTCCTTGTTTCTTTTTCAGCTTCTGTTCCTCTGTTCCTTGGTGATCTTCATGTGGCCTGGCATCTATCTTCCCCTATGTCTGCTTGCTTAATCTGCTTATTTATATCTCAAAAGAGACAGATTTAAGACACACTTACAGGAATACTGCCACACTAACATATCAAAGAACACCCATTCCCAAATGGGATTATAACCACAGGTATAGGGGTTAGAACTTACAACACATATGTTTAGGGGACACAATTCAATCCATGACATCTACTATTCAGTTGTTTCAATTACATGTATTCTTCTGTTCATTTTCCAGGAAAATAAGGTCCCAGATTACTTTTGCCTTGAAGTTGAACTGATCCTCTTGATATAGTTACATACGCTTTTGGTAGATCAGTTTTGACTTTGCATCGTCAGCAACAGTGTACCTCAATAATATTTTCTGTTTTCCAGTGACACTTTAAAGTTTACTTCTATTTACCAGATACGCTTCAACTTCTAAGTTTCTTAACCTGTATTGTAATTAGTGTGGAGTTTATGGTTTATTAATAATGCCATTGAATAATCTCATTACAAAGTCATGTAAGAACATTTCTATGTACATTTGAATGTGTTTATGAACATTTAAACTGCTCCTGCATTTTATTGAAATTTCTTCAAGAGCATGTTTAGGTTGAAAAAAGATTCAGCTTTAGGAATCCCTGATTAAAAATACTCCTTTGAGGGGCATGAGGAAACTTTTTGGGTTGATGAATATGTTCATTATCTTGATTGTGAGGACAGTTTCACCATTTTATAAATATGTATGTCAAAACTTATCAAATTGTACACTTTAAATATGTGCAATTTTTTGTATGTATATTAAACCTCAGTAAAGCTGTTAAAAAGGACCCCAGGTGGTGCAGTGGTTAAACACTCAGCTGCTAACCGAAACGTTGGCAGTTTGAACCCACCAGCTGCTTTGTAGGAGAAAAGGCCAGGCAGTCTGCTCCTATAAATATTATAACCTAGGAAACCCCATGGGGCAGTTTAACTCTGTCACATGGGTTTGCTATGAATTGGAGTTGACTTGACAGCGATGGATTAGGTTTTGGGGTTTAAAGCTATTAAAAAATGTGTCCCTTTGGTGGTTGTTTAGAGTAGTGTGTTGTTAGAACATTTGAGGAAGTCTACATTTAGTCTTTTCTACTCTTTGCTTTTTGTGTAGGTTTCCAGACTTGTGAATGAGGTCTATCACATGTACAATCGACACCAATATCCATTTGTTGTTCTTAACATTTCTGTTGATTCAGGTGAGTTCCACTGAGATTGCAGTAAAATTAGTGATTTACTTCTAAAAGAATAAAATGAAATTTGGAGCTGTGCTGTGACTGGAAAGAGACTTGTAGTAACAAGTTTTGGTGAGGTAATTTTATTTTTCATACAGACTTTCCTGCTTTCTACTGGAAACTGTGCTAGTTTCATTATTAGGAAGATGTAATTTTTTTCCATGTCAACCAGGGGAGAAAGTAGAAAGATGCCATGAAATTCTGTAAGACTAGAGTGTCCTTTCTGATTTTGAAAATGATTTATTTCATAGAGACATGTTTCTTCTGATTATAAAAGTACTACGTATTGTTCATTAGCAATAACTGTTAAAATTCTGGTTTATTGACATCCAGGATTTTTCTAGGTACTTATAAATATATATGTGTACACCTTAAATAAACACACACACACACTCATATCCTTTGGGGTGAGAAAATAATTTTGAGTAATTCTGTATTGTACTCTTCATTCTTAGATGTATACATTGTCTTTTCCTATGTTATTAAAAATTATTCAGAAACATTTTGATAGGTACATTATATTCCACTGTGGAATATAATAGAATATAAAAACCTTGATTTTTTTTAATTCATCCATTTTTAGATATTTAAGTTTTCAGTTTTTTGAAAGTAGAAATACTGTTCTTATAATTAAATTACTATCTATATCTTTGATTATCTCCTTAAGGTAAATTCCTAGTTGAATTATTGGGTCAGCGAATATGATCATTTTCAAGACTTTTTCTATATTGTATTCTAGACATGTTGTAACAACTTACACATCTACCAACAAGGTACTAGGTATTAAAATTTTTAAACAAAATTCAAGGGTGATAAGTTGTGGGGATATATGCCATTTAAACATGGCTGCACTATTGACAGCTGCAGCCCCCACAGGCCTCTATGCTGTATACGACATGTTGGAGACTTGTCAGCGATAAGAAAGAGATTAGGCACGACTTGTTTTCCCAAACCTATTGTCCTATTACTGCTTGGCTTGTTTACCTGAATTCATTCTCCCTTGCCCGAAACTTATTGTTACTCACCCAAACCCTATTGTTCTGTTATTTGCTTCACTGCTTGCTGTACTGACTATAAATAAACTCCTGGGACTGGAGCTGGGGGTTGACTCCTCAGAGTGACCCTCCTGGCCCCACTTCTCTGTAAGAGTTGTGTTTGGCTTCTGTCTTCGCCGCCCAGACGACCGTCGCCGTTGCGACAGATGGTGCCCTGTGTGAGGAGGAATAGGAAAATGAAGTAAAGAGTGATAGGAAAGCTCCTGGCCCAAAGCCTGAAATCCCTTGAGGGAGCGTATGAGAAAGCCCCGCCGCTCCCGGGGCTATAGCAGCCTGAGATGACAACGTCCGGGAAAGTTCCGCCCGCGGAAAAACCCCACCGCTCCTGGGGCTGTAAGAGCAGCCCGAAATGGACGCGTCCTGTACTTAACCACCTTCAGGGATTGAGTGGGAGGATGTCTACAGCATCCTCACACGGGGCACCATCTGTCGCAGCGGTATGACCATCTTTGGCAACCGATAAAAAGTTAAAAGTAGAGAGAGCTTTGGCAAGTCTTTCATTCTGGTCACATACTCTAGACCTGTCAATAAGTGGTATTTCATTTTAGTTTGCCGTTTTAGTATATGTTTCTATGTATTTATTTGATTTTTTTTGTTTTGCTATTCACCCATTCGAATCCTCATGTATTTTGACTATTTAAAAAATTGTCCATCTTTTCCTTGTTTATTTGAAAGCTAATTTTATAGCTAATGGATATTAATCTGAATGCTGTAATGTTTTTAATAGTACTTTTGGTAAGTACACGGGGAACAATTTCTATTGTTCATTTAAATATAATAGTGTCTTTTCTTTTTGACCTTAGAATGTGTTGATATCAATGTTACCCCGGATAAAAGGCAAATTTTACTACAAGAGGAGAAGCTTTTGTTGGCAGTTTTAAAGACCTCTTTGATAGGAATGTTTGATAGTGATGTAAACAAACTTAATGTCAGTCAGCAGCCACTGTTGAATATTGAAGGTAAGAACAATATGAGTATATCAATAGCTTCTAAAACTTTTAGCTTTTGTGATACTTTCCTTATTTTTTCCAAGGTAAGCTTTTTCCACATGGAACAGAACTCCTGTTTTGGACAGAGATGTTTTGTCATACTAGAAAGTATATATAGCTGCAGCTTTAGGGTAATCTGTTTAAAAGAGGAGTAAAGATACAACAATTGGTCTGTATTCACCTGGAGCAACAGAAGAAGGAGAGTCAGGAATAGGAGGAGGAAATGGAATGTGTGGCTAATTGCCTTCATGAACAGCTGCCTCCTTGCCATAAGACCAGAAGAACTGTATGGTGCCTAGCTACCATTACTGAATGTTTTGATCAAAGATTCTGTAGAAGAATCCTGATCAAAAGGGGGGAAAATTTGGAACAGAATTCCAAATTCTTGTAGCTTTCTGGAGCTATGCCCTGACATAATCTTGAAACCTTAAAATCTTAAACCAAAAATATCCCTTGAAGTCTTCTTGAAACCAAATGCAGTGAAACCTGTGAGAGCCGGAATGCGACGTGACTGCCTTGTCTTTCTGGGTCTTGAAAGTTTTTTGCCTTTGACATAGTGCAGTCTTACTACTTTTCTATTGCTCGTTTTACTGGAAAATTTTTTAGTTTTCCTTCGCTGGCAGATTTCTGTCTTTACACAGGTTCCGACTCTGACAAGTTTCACTGTAATAGTTTAGCTTAATTAGTGAAGAATGTCTGCGTTGAGCATTGTGCTCTTTTAAAGAACTATCTGTATGGGCTCAAATTGACAACTGCAACTTGAAAGGTAAGAGAAGAAACTTCAGGGGTAGTGAGTTCGTCTAAAGCTGGAGGAACAACTTAGAAAAAGAGGGTGAGAATGGTTGCACAAGTTGAACAGTGTAATCAGTGTTATTGAATTGTACATGTGGAAACTTGGATTGGTATATGTTTTGCTGTGTACGTTTTCAACAACAAGAACAAAATAAAATTATTTTTAAAAAAGAAAATTAAAACAATAAAAATCAGAATGGGAAAATGGTGGAAAGAACGAAAAAAGGAGGTATATAGGGATGTGCAGTGCTGTCTGTCCCAGGGTGTGATGGTTCCTCTATTTTTTCTAAGTTGTATGTAGATGACATGTGAGCAGAAGTGCATAGTGGCCAAATTGTTAATTCCCTTGTCATTTCCTTTATTATAGATCTTTGAATTATTTTCTTAGTGGTTGCTGTGGGGATTATAATTAACATAATAATCTTGCTCTGGTTCATACCAGTGTAATTTCAATAATAGACAAAAACTTTGCTCCTTTATAACTGTTTCCTCCCTTCTCCTCTGGGCTGTTGTTGTCAGACAGATTACGTCTTTATACATTGTGTGCCCATCAACACAGATTTAGATTTATAATTATTGCTGTATTAGTTTTTTAAAATCAGATAGGAGGAAAATAGAATTACAAACAAAAAATACATTTATATTGTCGTTAGTTGCTGTCGAGTTGATTTAGACATACAGTGACCCCTGTGACAGAGTATAACTGCCCCATGGGGTTTTGTAGGCTGTAATTTTTTTTTTTTAAACACTTTTTTGTATTTCAGGTAAAAGTTTACACAGCAAATTAGGTTCCCATTTAACAATTTTTATACAGATTGTTCTGTGACATGGGTTACAATTTTCACAATGTGTCAGCATTCTCATTATTTGCATTCTGTTTGTTCTGTTTTTCTGATCTAGCTTCCCTTTACCTTCTTGCCTTCTCATTTTTGCTTTTAGGTAAATGTTGACTGTTTGGTGTTACATAGTTGATTGTTTAAGGGAGCACGTTACTCAAGGGTAATATTGTTTATTTGGTAAGCCAGTCCATTAATTGGCTGAAAGGTGACCTCCAGGAATAGCTTCAGTGCCAAATTCAAAGGGTATCTTAGGGTGATAGTCATGGGGGTTCCTCTAGTCTCAATCGGTCCAGTAGGTCTGGCCTTTTTTAGGAATTTGAGTTTTGGTCTACGTCTTTCTCCCATTCTATCTGGGACCATCTATTGTGACCCCGGTTCTGGTCTCAGGTTAGGAGAGGCTGTGGGTCGTGTGAGCTGTTAGTCCTGTGGACTAGTTTCTTCTTAGAGTCTTTGGTTTCCTTCATTCTCTTTTGCTCCAGAGGAGTAGAGACAAATAGTTGTATCTTAGATGGCCGCTCACAAACTTTTAAGACGCTAGACGCTATTCACCAAAGTAGGGTATAGAACATTAACTTCATGAATATGTTATGCTGATTGACTTAAGTTATCCCATGAGACTGTAGTCCTAAGCCTTTTAACCCAGTAAACCAGTCTTGCGAGTTGTTTAGATATAGCTAGGAGGTCTCCTTAATTGTAACTCCTATGTGTTTTGTTATATGTATGGGTATATATGCAGCACACACAAACATGTACATACATATGCTTACAGATACATCTGTACATGTACGTGCATGCATTCACATATGCCTTCCTATACACATGTGTGCATATCTGCCTGTGTAACCACACACGTTTTTTGGTTGTTATTACTGTTGTTTCAGAATTGTATATATTATAGCATTTACGGAAGTTGTCTCCTTTTCTTGTGTACTTCCTAGCGTCTTCATTTGCCTTGATCATGTTGTATAGACTTCACCCATATTTGGTGTATTGCCTTTCCCATCACCAAAAATAGTAAGTGTCTACTATGTAGAAAGTGATTCCCCCTTTCCTCCCCTCCCATCCCTGGTAACCATGAAAGAATGTTGCTTTCTGTGTGTATATCTATTCTTGACATTTTATAATAGTGGGACCATACAGTATTTGTCCTTTTGTGATTGACCTATTTCACTCAGCAGAATGTCCTCCAGATTCATCCATGTTATGTTTTGCGGGCTCCTCATTATTTTTTTATTGTTGTGTAGTATTCCATTGTATGCATGTACCACATCTTGTTTATCAATTCATCCGTTGATGGACACTTAGGTTGTTTCTACCTTTTTGCTATTGTGAATAATGCTGCAGTGAACATGGGTGTGCATATGCCTATTCGTGTCATTACTCTTATAACCCTTGGATATATAGCTAGGAATGAGGATGCTGAATCGCAAGGTATTTCTATTTCGAGGTTTTTGAGGCTATACTCTTCACGGGAGCAGACCACCAGGTCTTTTCTCCCAAGAGAAGCCCCTGAGTGGGTTTGAACTGCCAACCTTTTGATTAGTAGCCAAGTGTTTAACTGTCGCATCTCTTATATTTATCTAGGCAGTTACCTTTACCAGTGCTCTTTATTCCATTTCAGTCCAGTCCCTTATCCTCTTCTTCACTTGTATCTACTCAGGGAAAATCGTGAAGATGCACTCGGCGGAGATGGAAAAGCCTCTGCCAGAAAAGCAGGAAAGCCCTGCTTTGTTCCAGACTCAAGGAGAAGGAAAACGGGCAGTGACTATTTCCAGACTGAGAGAGGCCTTTTCTCTTCATCACACAGCAGAGTACCAGCCTCAGGGCCTGAGAACTCCTGAGCCGAGACGGGTTGCTCCTGGGCCAAGAACAAGGGTACCGTTTTCTAGCAAGTCAGACACCCTGCGCCCCCAGAAGCCTGTCTCTGGCAGGGGCGTGTGTAGCCCTCAGGACAAGAAGGTGCATCCAGATGAGGACCCCTGTGACTATAGGGACACAGTGGAGATGGAGAAGGACTCAGGGCACGACAGCACCTCAGTGGGCTCAGAGGTGGGGGACAGCACCCCAGAGACGGGCAGCCACTTCAGCAGCGACCAGGCAACCAGCTCCCCTGAAGACGGAGTTTCACAAGAAAAGGTGGAATCTTGTGAGAAAGTACCTGAAATGGACTGTCCTTTTTCAGATGTGGAATGCCACGTAGACCAAGAAGATACTGGATATAAGTGTAGACTTTTGCCACAGCCCACTAATATCTCATCCTCAAACATAAAACTTTTTAAAAAAGAAGAAATTCCTTCAAGTTCTGACATTCCTCAAAAGTTGATTAATTCTCAGAACAGTTCAGTATCTCTGATTGATGTAGCTGTTAAGATTAATAAGAAAATTGTGCCTCTTGATTTCTCCATGAGCTCTTTAGCTAAACGAATAAAGCAGTTAAATCAGCAAGAACAGCGAAGAGAAGAGAAACAGAATTATAGGAGATTTAGGGCAAAGATCTGCCCTGGAGAAAATCAGGCAGCAGAAGATGAGCTAAGGAGAGAGATAAGGTAAAGTTTTTTCTTAAGAGTGCTTTGCTTTTAGTTACCTCCTTTGAGTGAACCGAGAACTGATCTTTAAGACTCAGGTTTTACTGCTCTGGGTATCTTTTGCTCTCGTTGTTCTTGCTGTGCCCTGGGGGCGCGTCTCTACTTCTGGCTCTGTGCTCATGTGTGGCCCTGACGTGGCACCAGCTAGTGCTGCCTGAAAAGACTGTCCTCTGGGGGTCTTCCCTGTACCTCAAACTTGACACATCCCAAAACAGACTCACAATACTGTCTCTCTCCCTTCCTTCTCATAGAACCCTCTTTCAGATTCTAATTTTGGAGTCAATGCTGACTTCACAGATTGGTCGTTAGCCTTACCAGTGCATCCTTCACCATGATTTTTGCATTCATCAGCTTTTCATTGTCTCTTACGTCCTTCAAATTAAAGAACCGTTTGCTATTGAGTTGACTCTGACTCATGCCACCCCATATATGTCAGAGTAGAACTGTGCTCCATTAGATTTTCAATGGCTGGTGTTTTGGATGTAAATTGCCAGGCCTTTCTTCTGAGGCAACTGTGGGTGGATTCGAACTTCCAACCTTTTAGTTTGCACCCAAGTGCTTAACTGTTTACACTACCCAGGGACTTGTCTGTTAGATTAATTTCCTTCTAATAGCTCTTTCAGCATGCTGTTCTGCTGCTTGAAAAGTTTGAAGACTTTTCCTGGGATTTTCTTAACCATTTCCTCTCCATCAGTCCAAATGCTAATCAAAGCCTTCTTGAACCCAGTTTCATCCCTCTTCCTGAACATTTTTCTTCCCACAGTGATTTCTCCCTGCTTTCAATTCATAGCAGATTAGGAATGCATTGTTGCTTTCTATTTTTCATTTTAGTATGTATTAGGAAAAATTACATATGGCACATTGTCACACCTGTGATTTTAAGAATATTACCTAGGATAGGCTAAGTATAAAAGAGAGTCAGTTTAAAGAAAAATATTGATAATACAGATAATAGAAAACACTGATTGCTAGCACTTTCTTTTTTTTCCTTTATACTCTTGCTAGAAACTCTTTGGAAAGAGAACTCCTTGAATCAGTGTCAGAGGAATGTATGTGCTGAAGGTGGGGGGTGGGGGGCAGGTCTCCAGTCTGTTTTCCATTAACAGCCAATGAGGACTTAGTACTCATCACATTTCCATTTTTGACTTGGCTGCCAGGAAGGCCAGAGCTATGATTCTTTTTAATTTTTAGAATTTTATTGTAGTTAAATATTGTTGTTGTTGTGTGCTGTTGAGTCAATTTCTACTCATAGTGACCCTATAGGACAGAGTAGAACTGTCCCATAGGGTTTCCTAGGCTGTAATCTTTATGGGAACATATCGCCAGGTCTTTCTCCCAAGGAGCAGTTCGTGGGTTTGAACCACCAACCTTTCGGTTAGCAGCTTAGTGCTTAACCAATATGCCACCAGGGCTCCTGTAGTCAAGTATATATAACATAAAATTTCCCATTGTAGCCATTTTTAAGTGTACAATAAAGTGGTATTACCATATTTTTACACAAATAATGTGTGCCTTCTGTGTTTGCCAGCCATACCCTCTCTCCCTGAGGTATTTTTATTAGCACTGCTATGCCAATTTTTTTTACATGTTGCTATAAAAAAGTTAGCATAGTGTGCTTGTGAAACGAGGGCGTGGTTGGCAAACAAATGTAGAAGACATTTGTTATTTGCGTAAAAACGTAATTGCATTCACAATGCTACTACTACTTTTTGATAATAGTGTACAGTATTGGATTTTTTTTTTAAATTGTGCTTTAAATAAAAGTTTACAGTTCAAGTTAGTTTCTCATACAAAAATTTATATACACACTGCTGTGTGACCCTGGTTGCTCCCGCCATACTGTGACAGCACACTCCTCCTTTCCACCCTGGATTTCCCGTGTGCATTCAACCAGCTCCTGTCCCTTTCTGCTTTCTCATCTCACATTCGGACAAGAGCTGCCCGTTTAGACTCATGTATCTACCTTAACTAAGAAGCACACTCTTTATGAGTATTATGTTATGTCCCATAGTCCAGTCTAATCTTTGTCTGAAGAGTTGGCTTCGGGAATGGTTTTAGTTTTGGGCTACCAGAGAGTCCGGGGGCCGTGTCTTCCAGGGTTCCTCCAGTCTCAGTAAAACCATTAAGTCTGGTCTTTTTACTAGAAATTGAGTTCTGCACCCTACTTTTCTCCTGCTCCATCAGGACTCTCTGTTCTGTTCCCTATCAGGATGGTCATTGGTGGTAGCTGAGTACCATCTAGTTCTTCTGGTCTGGGGCTGATGGAGTTTTTGTGGCCCTTTTCTCTCTTGGGCTCATATTTTCCTTGAGTCTTTGGTGTTCTTCATTCTCCTTTGCTCCAGGTTGGTTGGGACCAATTGATGCATCTTAGATGGCCTCTTGCTAACTTTTAAGACCCCAGACGCCATTCACCAAAGTGGGATGCAGAACATTTTCTTAAAAACTTTGTTATGCCAGTTGACCTGGTTATCCCCAGAAACCATGGTCCCCAAACCTTTGCCCCTGCTACTCTGTCCCTTGATGTGTTTGGTTATATTCAGGAAACTTCATGGCTTTTGGTTTAGTCCAGTTGTGCTGACTTCCTCTGTACTGTGTGTTGTCCTTCCCCGCACCTAGGATAATTCTTATCTACTGTCTAGCTAGTGAATACCACTCTCTATTCCTCCCCACCCTAGTAACCATCAAAGAATGTTTTCTTCTGTGTTTAAACCTTTTCTTGAGTTCTTATAATAGTGGTCTTATTCAACATTTGGCCTTTTGCGACTGACTAATTTCACTCAGCATAATGCCTTGGGGATTCATCCACCTTATGAGATGTTTGGCGGATTCATTGTTGTTCTTTATCGTTGCGTAGTATTCAATTTGTTTATCCATTCGTCCATTGATGGGCACCTCGGTTGTTTCCGTCTTTTTGCTATTCTGAACAGTGCCTCAGTGAACATGGGTGTGCATGTATCAGTTAGTGTGACAGCTCTTATTTCTCTAGGATATATTCCAAGGAGTGGGATTGCTGGATCGTATGGTACTTCTATTTCTAGCTTTTTAAGGAAACGCCAAATCGATTTCCAAAGTGGTTATACCATTTTACATTCCCACCAGCAGTGTATAAGTGTTCCAGTCTCTTTACAACCTCTCCAGCATTTATTATTTTGTGTTTTTTGGATTAATGACAGCCTTGTTGGGGTGAGATGGCATCTCATTGTAGTTTTGATTTGCATTTCTCTAATGCCTAATGATCGTGAGCATTTCCTCATGTGTCTGTTAGCCACCTGAATGTCTTCTTTGGTGAATGTCTGTTCATAACCTTTGCGCATTTTTTAGTTGGATTATTTGCCTTTTTGTTGTTGAGGTTTTACAGTATCTTGTAGATTTTAGAGATTAGATGCTGATCGGATTTAGATTAGACGCTGATCAGATTTGTCATAGCCAAAAATTTTTTCCCAGTCTGTAGGTTGTCTTTTCACTCTTTTGGTTAAGTCTTTTGATGAGCATAAGTGTTTGATTTTTAGGAGCTCCCAGTTATCTAGTCTCTCTTCTGGTGCTTGTGCATTGTTACGTATGGTTTTTATTGTGTTTATGCCATGTATTAGGGCTCCTAGCATTGTCCCTATTTTTAGTTCCATGATCTTTATCATTTAGGTTTGATCCATTTTGAGTTAGTTTTTGTGTATGGTGTGAGGTACGGGTCTTGTTTCAGTTTTTTGCAGATGGATATCCAGTTATGCCAGCACCATTTGTTAAAGAGACTGTCTTTTTCCCAATTAACGGACTTTGGGCCTTTGTCAGATATCAGCTGCTCATAGGTGAAGGAATTTACGTCTGGATTCTCAATTTTGTTCCATTGGTCTATATATCTGTTGTACCAATAATAGCAGGCTGTTTTGACTACCGTGGTGATATAATAGGTTCTAAAATCAGATAGTGTGAGGCCTCCCACTTTGTTCTTCTTCAGTAATGCTTTACTTATCCGGGGCCTTTTCCCTTTCCATATGAAGTT